CAACACTAAAAAAGGAGTTTCAGGGTTTTCTGCAGAGCATACAGACAAACCTGAGATGATATACAGCACTGTAAGATTTTATTGATGTTTACTCAAGATGATCTATGTAAGTCACTCTTAGATATTCAACCTTCCCAAAGTCATGCCAGTAAAATGTTTATGCTACAACATCATCAATCTCTACTGTACCTCCACATGCAGACACATATTATATATCTTCAATTACATTAAAACTAATTAGACAATAAGTCACAGTTGAAGATATACCTTATTTGTTCAAACATCCAAGTTAAATTTACATTCTAATGGTTGCATATTTGGTTTTAAAATATGCACTATTAGAAAATAAACATAATAAATGAATAACCATTTTAGCATGGAGTTACCTAATCTTGATGAAAAATATCTGAAAATGCAGCAACCAGGGAATCTATTTAATTTTTATTTGAAAATAACGCTAATCACAGACTAAGGAGATAAATATAAATTATATGGAGTAGCACACTAATGATGGATCAGACAGACCCACCCTGTGCAGTGAATGCAATAAAATCAAACTGGTTGAAATGGCTGGCATATACTCTAGATGCTCTCCTTCTCAAGCATGGAATAAAGGATATAGACTAGAATGGTTTAATTTGCTGAAGTTTCCCCTTACACTTGACAGTGCATTTTATTTTCAGCATCTTCTAAAGCTTCAGGACAAGCTCTGTGTCTCCCAGCAACAATCAGCTTGTGCATAGGAAAGATGCATAGGGATGATTACTGTCCCTGAAAACTGAAAAGTCCACAGTAAGGTAGGAAAGTTGGACTGTAATGGTGTGAACAAGAGGGCTCACATACCCAGCAAACGGTGCAAACCAGGCTACTGCATAAATCCTTTGTCATTAGGACAGAAGCTTAATTCCTACAGCACATTGAGCAAAAGCAAATGGGAGCAAGCAGGCCCAGCCTTTGCTATCTTGCACAGGAGGAAGAGGAACCTGCTTTGATTTCCTTTCCAGTATAATGAATTGGTTCTTTCCACACAACTATATCTTTTTGATTATGTACTTTTCCTCGTCTCTGCTATCCTCAACTGTTCACTTTGCAAAGCAGAAGGAGTGTCCTGGATTAGGGCCACATGCACCATTCTGGCTACAGCTTTCCAGGAGGTGAACAGTGTCAATTCAAGTTGTTTGTCAAGTCTCCTCACCCCACTGCCAAAGGCTACTATCCCCCCAGGTCTCCCAGCAGAGCTGCTCCATGAACTTTGTCTCTTCTGGAGCCATTAAAATGATCCTGGTTAGAAAGTTTATTATTTTGAGTTTTGAAGTTACCAGCTACTTATGAAGGAATTGAATTTTGAGGGATTGCGTGTGCCAGCAGACACTAGGAAGGAGCAGTCCCTAAAGATGATGGAAGGGGATGATAAAAAATAGGTGGTGCTAGGCTTATGGAAGATATTGCAGAATATTACAGATAATACAGAAATCAGGAATTCAAGAAGACAGCAATTCCCATAATCTCACAGAGGGAGTTTGTAATTTTGCTAGAAATCTGATCCAGATTCCCCCTGTACCAGTGCCAGAACAGCCATAATCGTGATTCTGCTTGACCTCAGTGCAGGCCACAAGGCTCCTTGGCAATCAAAATAAATAACTATTTAAAACAAGAGCAGTCAAAGACACCAGCAGCATCAAATGAAAGTGACTTTATGAAGGGAGACACATCAAGAGCTACTTGACATGATGTGCACTTGCTTGCCTTGGCAGCAAAATGATGGAGGCTCCAGAATCCGTCCTGCTGCCAGGGACCTTCTTATCAACACCTCTGGGCACACCACACTGCAGCCGAACTGTGAGTACCTTCCCTCTCTAAGTGTCATTTCATTTTTGTACCTTTCCTTGAGAGTTGTCAGCCCATGGACCTTTATTTTTTTGCTAAGAATGCTGGGTCAGCATAAACCAGAAGGCGATTACATGGAACTGTGCTCAGGGCCCTGACAAACAGAGATATAACCCAGTGGACTGATCAGAACCGAGCCATTTGTTTTATTACATTGTGCTTGCAGGTTCTTGGTCCTTCCTGCCCTCAGCCTTTCATTTCACAGCCTGAGCAGAAACCCTACACAAACAACTGAAAGCAAGTTACCAGACCCTGATCCCCACACTGATGTGACTTGTATCAAATTATAGCTGGAGTGATTTGCTAATCCAAATCCAGGCAATAATCTGATCTGTGGGGAGAAGCACTCCAACACTGCTGTGCTGAGTGGCCACAATGGTACAAGCATTGTCTGCTTTTCCCAGCAGCTTTTTGACTTACCAAAGCCTGCACACATGTACTGAGCAACTGATGACACAGGGGAAAGTCTGACACATTCAGGCTGTTAAAAGGCATAAGACATATACTCTTAAGTCCCAAGAAAATGCTCCAATTAAATGCAGTTTTTGAGCAAGAGTGTATTTCACCCAGCTAAAGGTTACTGCTATGCAGTGTGGACTTCATGTATTTGAAGAACATTTTAATTAAGAAAAAGAAAAATATTTATGTTGGTGGATGATATTCAGGTTATAAGAAAGGATTTGGGGGAGTACTTAAAGGTTGAGAGGTCTCTTTCAGTTAAGCACATAAAGGATGGACATTTACCTGAACCTTCTGAGCCCAAGATTCAATTTCTGTCGTGAAAGACGCTCAAAACACTTTGTCTTGTTTTTCTTCAGTTCAGTCAGGCTGAAAAGTACTGCATGGCTTTGCATGCAGAAAATCTGACACTTTTAAAATATCCATTGAGATTTCTTACAACATCAACACTAGAAGACAGGCTAAAAGTTTTCTTTCAAATATCATATGAATAAACCATGTGATTCATTAATTATGACTCTTTAGCAAGTAGACAGGAATAGAAGGTCTGCTAACTTGGTTTTACAGCATATCTGAAAAATAACATAGAAGAGAAGAAAAAAATGGAGATCTTATGGTAGCACCAAAGAGTATTTCAAAGTATTTTTATTTGAAGGGTCATTAACCCTTTAAAAAGCAATGCCAGTACATACTAGAAGTATGTACACCACAGAGCTGAAAAAAGCTTAATGTAAGATACTAGATGAAAGCTGGATGTAGATTTGCTTTCAAACAAAACCCCAAGTTTGCCTCAATTCTTATATATTCAGATACAGAATTGAAACATGTAAACTAAGAGTTGGGAAGATTTACCAAAACTGAAGATGAAATATTCAAATCGAGAAGGTGTATGTATGTATTAAAGGGGAAAGGGGGAAAATGAAAAAAAAGGGAAAAAAATAAAAGATAAACGATAATTAAAAAGTCCCTAAGCAGTTCTAGATACCAGAGAAAAAAATCTGTTTCTAAAACATTGGCCATAGCCTTTCTTTAGAAGAAAGAACCAAAACTAAGGCTACCAAACAGCACCAATTAAAAAAAATCACTTTTAGTTTCCTAGAAACCATATACTTTCCTCTGAACTTATCAACAGTAACCTGTGCCTTTGACATCTTCAGATTACTTCACTATACCTGACTTACCTAAAATTGAACATGAAAACTACATGCAACTTAGAGAAGCCAGACAGCCAGCCCTCTTTTTGACTCACCTTCAACATCAGTCCATAGCATTCCAACAATCTGGGCTTTTCCCCAAAAGCCAAATCTACTGCTAGTATCAGTTGGAAGCTTGGATCCACAGTTTTAAAGCAAGCAAGAAATCTCATCTCAGCTCCATCAGATTGCAATCTATAAACCAAGCCACAAGCTCAGGAGCATGGCAATCAGAAAAATAGGGGCTGAAAAGGAGACTTGAGCACTTTTTATTGAAAAGAACAACAAACATTCTGTAAGTGATCATGGAAACCTACAAGCACACACCTTACGGAGCAGTGGCAAAAACCTGTGTATCTGTAAGATAACTACAAGCTGAAGGCACTAATGCCAGTTACCACCAAACAAACAAATAAAAAAAACCACGAACCAAACAAAAAAAATCCCCAAACCCCTACCCACCAAAGAAGCCAAAACTATTCCCCAAACTTATCTCAAACAATATTTTAACGCTACCAAAAAAGATATGTGAGAATTGCAATTAATTAAAAACAAATGGACGGATGCTGCTACTGATACAGAGACTATTCAAATGTCATCTATCACTGTTGATTTCCCCCTTAATAATTACAATTCTTAAAAAAAATAAGTGTACACAATGAAACCAAATAAAATAGTAAAAGGCAGCTGCATAAAGTATTTTACTGCTTTAGCGCTTCAGACTTTGTCAAGCATCTATGTCAGCTCAACTCCCCCAAAGACCAGCTGACACCACCTGACTTGAACCTCCCCATGCTCCTGCTGAAGAGTATTATGGAAGTAGCATTTCCACTCAATTCAGTCATGCCTGATTGCTTTATAAGTACAAAAAGCAAGACGATGTTTCAAACTACAAAAATCACCTCAGCAGAGGAGTTACAAAACAAACACGAGCTGAGCCTGCACTCTCCCCTTCAACAGCCACGAGAAAAGAGCTGACATTGAAGACGGCATGACACATCCACAAAGAATTTGCCAAAGGTTAACATTGCAACTCACATTGACATCAATTATTGTAGAGTGAAAACAATGGGAAAAATTGAGAATGTGTTATGATCTTTGAATGCTTTGTATCAAACACATATTTATAACGAAACAGAATCACGGACACAACTCAAGGACAAAACCAAACCACAAGCCTAAATCAATCCCTATTCTGGATATATTTAAAAGTTAAGTATGTGCTTAAGCATTACTCAGAACAGGGATGTTGACTAGGTACCAGCAGGAATTTATGACTTTATCGGGTTAAAAAAGATGCTATTATCAAAAGCTGGATTTTACTGCAGTACATCAGAGAATCACGATAGCTTTAAAGCTGTTGCTTTAAAACCTAATCTATTAATAACACAGAATTTTAATTATATTCACTAGGGATGCACATATATCACATAAATTATTATCATATATATGTTTTTTTACCTGGAACTTTATTTTTTGCCAAATGTGAGGCCCAATGAATTGTTTCAAGAAGCGTTCATCTTCACTCCAGAACAGTCGGATGTCAGGGATATCATACAGGATCATGGCCAGCCTCTCCAAACCCAAGCCAAATGCCCAGCCAATTTTATCCTGAGCACCAGCTGCAATACACAAACAACATAAAAATTCAAGACCTTAAGTTCATGACATGGAAAATTACTGATAAAACGTCCACCTATTTATTAAGAGGAAATAAAGAAAAAGGTGAAATGGCAAACCAGAAAATCTTACAAGTAACTGCCAAATGAATGATCTAAAGGCTACAGGACAGATCCTACTTAATCAAAATCAGCAGCAAGACTGAGCACATCACTGAGTCTAGGAACCAAAAAATTACAATAAAACAAAGACACAGTCTTCAAAATTTGTGTCCAAAGTTTCAGACAGGCTTGAGAAATGTTGCATAATGCTATACATCACTACCTTTCACCATGCTTAGAGCTGTGTTTTATAAGACACAAAAACATGAATTCCCTGCTCAGAGTATTTTCCTTGGTCTGACAGACCAAGTCAAGCCTATGGAGCATTAGCATCATTACCAACATTTCAAAAGACTATAATTGCCTCTTTTGAGGTTTCTGGAAGAAACAGAGCAATAGGATGTGAGGCACCGTTGCATTAGCATCACACCTCCAACCAAGGAAATCCTGAGCCGCTGTTCCTGGGAAAAGTCTCTTTTATGCAGCATTAAATATAAAAAGACAAGAATATTTAATAAAGATAATTTTTACAGATATTAATGATGCAACATTTCCGTCAGGAAAGTAAATATTCATACCTTCCTTCATTTACAGGGCAGGAGCACTGATTCATTCAAACAGGGATCTTTTCAACACAAGAAACTAAGTCTATGTTTAGCCATCATCCTACTGATTTTGAAATAAACTGAGAGCCCGGAAGCTCTGGCAAAGGCTCAGAGCTTTTAAAAATTTAAACAAATGCCTAGACAAACACATGCTGAAAGGATGTGTGCATGTGTGACAGACTTTACTCAACACCATCGACACTTGCAGTGTGCTCTGGAGTCACACAACATCGCTGCACATCTCACAGCTATGCACCAGGGCCACAGCAGCCCCACCAGTATCAATTTAAACTAATTTTTTGGAAACTTTGAACTCAGCAACTTCCTCATCTTCATGCAGGAGGCTAGAAGCACAAGTCTTCTTTCTGACCCTAGTCTCTGCTATTAGAAAGGAAACTGCTCCCATTATTTGGGCACTGTTGACAGACACCCTGAGTTTCCTGTTGTGTTCAATGCTGAGACTAAACAGGCCTGAGTTCTGTTCAAATAGAGGGAGGCATACCAAGCTTGGGAAAAGAGACACACTCATGACTTCAATTCCATTAATTCACTTGAACCTGCCTATTTTTCTGGAATAACAGGTCCTCAGAAGAACCTCTCTGTGTCTCACTTGCTGCATTAGCAGTACTGCACCGCCACAGGAGTTACATTAACTTGTAAAGATACTTCATAGAGGTGTCAGGGTATCCTGCCTGTCCCTTCTTGTGTGCTCAAAGGCAAGATTTTGTACTTTCTGACATTTGAAAGCAGACATTTCATCAACTGAACTGTGGAATTTCTGGGAAATAGAGGACTGGGTGTGAACTCAAAAGGTACTTCATGGCAGAGCTGCTAGAAAGTGCTTAGACCAACCAGATATGAGCTAATCTGACTCTGGAAACCTAGAATGCTACATTACATGAAGAACTGCACAACTTGCTTCTGTTGATTTTTAGAGAAAGCAGAGTAGCTACAAAGAGTGTATTGATATTTGTATTTGTGTGGGATTTTGAGGTTTGACTCTAAGCCTAAATCATAAACTTTATTTTCCATGCTGAAAGTACTATTTCTCTCCATACCGGTATATTAAAGTCATTACATTTGTGTGGCTGTGAAGAAGGGAAGATAATTCATTGCAATGGTGTTGCTTCTTTCAACTTCCAGCTTGTCTTTCCTAGATCAGCAACTCCAGCCTCAGTGACAGAACTCCTATTTCATTTCAGAAGTATCAGATTTTCACATACATATGGGCATTTCTGTAGATCAACCCCCTGCTCCAGAGGTAAAGTAAGGCACCAGGAGAAATATCCATGAGGGTTCTGAATGGTCACTGCTTAATCTCAACAGAGGCATTAAACCTGAAACCTAAAGATACCAGATTAAGCATTAGCATTATTAATTCACAGATGCTCAATAAAGCATACATGATGGGGGTGATGATCCTCCTTCCCTATATTAGTGATGATTACTGGTAGATGAGACAGAAAAAAAAAAAAGATAGGACAGAAGATAAGAACAGGTGTATATTCTGATTAGCAGAACTTTACATTTAAAACTTGGGCTTTTAAAATATTTTTTGATATGAGAATGGTTTTCACTGTAATACTTCTTTTCCTCATTGACTTGCCATGAACTTGAACTGTGCAATGAATGTCTTGATTTTGCATCACCGACTTCTTTTCTGCTCCAGTTTTCTGGCTTGGTTTGTTGGGGTTTTTTTTAGAAGGGCTGGGATACATCACAGGTTTTTTCACGCGTAGCAGACTAAGAAATTCTGCTACCTGCTTAGCAGCTCAGGGCATTGTCATCTGAGCTATGATTAAACGCCTATTCACCAAACTGAACTTGTCTTTTGGATGATCCTTGTACAATTATCAGCCTTCAAACCGCAAACATCTCAAAGGTCCACAGTGAAAACTGTATCAGTGAAGAATTACCTCTACTCAGACAAAATAATTGAAAGAAAAAGGAAAATTCAGATTATTAAAATGCCTCCTCAAATCTGCATTAGCAAATCTCTGCACTCTGACTCTTCAGTTATTTTGTCTCTGACCTCTTCTCCAGCTTTCTGTTTGTAAAGCTCCAAGTCAACGCAGCATTGACTTAAGTCATTAGAACAACTACCTTGGGGGACTCAACAAGATCAATGCATGCTTCTAAGCATATTTCTGACTGGAAATGATCAGGTGACTTAGAAATTAAATGAGCTAGTAATCATCCTGTTGAGTGAGGGAGCAAACCATAGCTTTCCCAACACGAATACATGTTTAAATGCACCAAATTTTGGCAAATACATGCAAAGAAGTCAAGTGAATGTGAGTCAACAAGACGGGAAGAGTGAACACAGAACAGCGCTAAATGTGGCAAAAATAAATTGAGGTTCTTATGAGGAGACCTGGCCAAAGCAGCAGATTCCAGGGACCTGGTGGGGGAATCACAGCATCACTGCTTGAAATAGCATAGCCCAACAGATAAAGCTTTCCTGACATACGAGCTTTCCCTAACTGGCCATCAGAGGTTTTTACACTGCCAGGGTCCTGCTGCCTCACATGAAGAATTTGACTCCCCACCAGAAGAAAATTGCTGGAAGCTTTGCTTGTCAGGTAGCCAAAGATGAAGGAGAAAAGGATAAAACAGTTTGAGTGGCTTCCCACACTGGGGGCTAGGACAGTCCAAATTTGATGTCAGAAGTTGCATCATTGCAGCTCTGTCTTACAGAGAAGCTCAAGAGTTCTTATCTTCCTTGAAAAGTCTGATCTATTTGTCCTGGACTTCACCTTCGAGCCCAGGTGAATCAGGTTGCATGTAACGTAGATAAAGCAAGTTATTCTCCAAAAAGCAATGTTAAATGAAAGTTAAATTTGCTCAGTCAGGATGGGAATCTTCCCAATTATTCACTAAGGCATAAATAATGACCTGCCAGAATTAATGGATTATATCACTCTGAATCCTCAGAAGAAACCACAGACAGAAACATTCATCCTCTCAAGGAGTGTGAGGCAAGACAGTCTGCTCTGTACAACAATTTTAAGCCATAATTTGCAACACAGTATTAGTAACAGGTTGACAAAGCTTTTTTGGTTTACATTCCAGTCATACTTATTTTTATATCGATACCAGCTTTTATTTAGGAATTTTTGCTACTTCTGTAAAACTGCCAATAAAAAAATCTTTCTTTCAATAGACCCTAAATTGGGTCTTCAAATTGTCATACTCAGCAGTTACTGAGAAGTGAAAGAAATAAGATTTTGATCTTGGATTAAGGCAAAATCATGAATACACAACAGACTGCATACAAGGTGTTCTTCACAAAATGCACAAAAATTAATACACCCAAAGTACGAGTAGCTGAAATCTGGGATGAGTTCCAGAAGCAAAGATCTGAATTTGATCTCCTTCTTTTAGTCCAAACTATGAATGTTAATGGAGCCAGTTCTAGAACTAAAATGGTGGGAAGAGGGGTGAACAGATTCTCAAGGGCATACAGATTACACATCATGTTTTACAAAACAAATCAGCTTTAAACTGTATAAAATGTAAGTTACAGACATAATGAACATGCAGCTTGACACAAAACACCACAAATTCTGGAAACAAATGCCAAGGCCCAGATTTGAGTTCTATGTGATTAATGGACAGCTTATGAATCAGGCTTTGAAAAACAAGTTCAGCAAAATAAATATTTTTTTATTTAAAATATTTAAATTTATTTAAATATATTTTAAATAAATTACTCTTTTCTAGATACTAGGAATGCATAGTCTATATAACTGCCACAGCAATGAGGCAAACATGTTTACTTGGGTTAAAAATAAGCCATTTTAAATTATTTCCTTACTATTCCCATAAATTATTGCAGATAAAACTCCCATATGTTGGGAGTCAAAAGTTTTATGTGGAAAAATGTAATACTACAGCATCAGTCTAATAGAGACAAGCTTCTAAAACTGCAAGGTCATGTGGCTGGGATGTTAAGCAACTGAGGCCAAAAAGCTTACTGAAGTTTTCTCTGAACTCCTCTCCAGTGAAAGGAAAATTCAAAACCATTACAGTATTCTCTTTTAACTCAGTTAAATTGATGCATTCAGGCTCCTGTGTGCCACTCAGTTTAAATTACATCATAAAATGAGGACTTGGCATTCAGACTATGCGTGCTAAGAAAGCCACTCTTCAAGGACTCAAGAAAAGAAGTAAACATTCAATTATGCCCATTCTGTGGAGAGAGAGCTTATCTTTCTAAATCTCATGTGTGGAATAATTTTCTAACAATAATAGTCACTTTGAGACCACAGCTATGTCTCCTGGGTCAGACTGATC